CTGAGATACACCACCCCCATTTTTCTCCAGCCTCGTGGAAAGCGCCGATTGCGAACACTTTGCCCGGCGCCGAAACGCTCGATGAATATCGGAACGGCTCCGTGAGGCGATTCGCCGTCTTCGAGGAAGTTGGTTCACCGAATATCAGTCGGAACGATCGTTCCGAGATCGCGGAAGTTACATCAGCGTTTACTTTGTGCGTGATCGTTGTTGCTCGGTAGATTTCTTTCACAGAGGGTTTCATGGTTACTCGTAGTAGAGGGAACTCGGACGAAACCGGATATCGGGGTCAATCCGGGACATGTGCTATTATTTTTAGGAATGTATCGGAGGTACAATTTTACAAGGGAAGGTACGGATGTGTCCCCCTCCGATTTTGATGAAACTTCGTATGTCTGTTAAGCAGTCGAAAATAAGAAATACGTATTTTTTTGTATCGGCTGAGACGCGACTTTACGGGGTGATACCACCCCTCGAAGTTTCGACCCGAAAGTACTATCTCGAGAACCAGAGAAGGTACATGGAAACTTCTAATGGACCAGCTTTGCGGTTTTTAATGTAGAATAATATGGTGCTAATAAATTGTTAAAAATGTAATTTGTTTATAACAAGAAAATTTTGGATCGAAACTTCGAGGGATGCTTTCACCCCTTAAAGTCGTGTCTCAGCCGATAACAAAAAATACGTATCCCTTATTTTTGACTGCTTAATAGACATACGAAGTTTCATCAAAATCGGAGGGGGACAATTGAAATACTTGATTATCTACGCCTTACGCACAGTAAATGTAGTTGTGAAGAACTTGAATGATAGTTAGAGTCTTATTTTTACTCCTAGAAATAGTATCTTTTACTGTACAAATGTTTTTTCCAGCATTATTTGCGGTTTTTTTCATTTCTGAGTCTAAACTTCTGACAGACTCCACCAACCGCCAAGTAGAATTCGCTAGTTTATTATTATATCTTCTATAAACTCACATTAGCCAATTTACCCCGAAACACCAGCAAAACTTTACTCCGACCACATTCAGTTTCATAATCCCTCGTTCCAAGTCCCATTCGATGTTACGCCTACCAAAAAAGGCACCCATAAAAGCGGTCATACATGAACTCGATGGAGCGATTTGCCGGAGTGACGCAAAAATTCCCACCTCTCCGGTACTTTTTCCGCTAATAAAGAGCGCCAAGCAGCTGACATCATCAAAACCAAGAGCGGTAATATGTTCACGGCGACGTCAGAAAAATGAACAGTAATCGCGAGACCTCTCGGGTACCAGGGACTGTCCTCCTCGATGGGCCAGGGGGTTTTTGTTCGGCGATGATGCGTGCAAAAATCCCGCGAACAATCCGTCAAATAACGCCGTGTTTGCACCCCCGTATACCAGCCCGTATGTGTAACACCCGTTCGCTCGAGTTCGACGAGCGAATCCGCGGGTAGTTTAAACGTTCATTGACGCGGATAGTGTGCACACGCAGACCCAACCGGGCTTCCGTTTGTCAGAAAGTGTACTACTACTTACCTTGCAGTGCAGAGGTGCGTGTTGCACGGCATCCGGGTCTTCCCTGGCCGGCTGTCCGGATCGCAGTAGCTGTCGTCCACCACGGTATCGTCAGGCTCGGTGCTCTTGCACACCGCCATCGCCAACTTGAGGCCTAAAACCAAAAATAGCCGAATTCGGTTTAAGATCGAGATATCGGGGACTTCTTTGAAGGTTCCTATGGGTGTTAAAGGGCTATGCTAATGTGACGGCTTCAGAAAATCGAATTTTTCTTATTTGCAATTTCCAACAATTTTGTGAGGAATAGAAAGGTGTTTTATATGGCCCGGACTAGGTGATTAGCTGTAAATATAAAATATTTCTCTTCTGCATGCTCTAAAACAGTACTTGAAACAACATTTATACCACTGGTATTAAATTTTTCATTCTGAATTTTGAATTTTTGACAAGATATACGAATTCAGCAACTCCAAAAACACGAGAACACCGATTTTTATGGAAGTCCAATGAAGTTATGAGTTTTTGCCAGCTTTTCGGGAAAAGGGTCCACTATGCGTCTCCTCATTTTCAATTTCGAGCAAGTGTAAACGAAATTCTTCGGGGTGTTACGGTCCCAAAAACGCGAAGCGAACTCGCCCCGAAGCAGAACAGCCCCGATAGGTGGCAACCGACTGGTCTAAGTAGCAGTTATTAATTTCGACAAGGGCAGAGGGGGGGGGGGGCGTTTAACGATTTTCACGGGCTCAAAGTTCATTAGAATTCATTGCTCCCGGTGTGCCGATGTAAATGGACTTGGCGGGTGCGGGCTTACCGCCTCAAGTAAACGAACTTGGTAACCACTACTAACCTCCGCCGCATGATTTCGAGCAGGCGGATATCGATTCCAAACTCCACGAGTACCGCGATTGGCAGCTCGATCCATTTCCGCCGCACACGCCGCACGCGTCCGTGTTCTTGTTGCTCCCGACTCGCAGATCGCAGCCGACCTTCTGAAACAGAAATTCCGCCCCGTTCGATTAATAAAACGTTTCAACCATCCCCGCCCCACCACCTTCCACGAGTACAAATCGCTCTTTCGCCAGGTAGTCGCTATTACTCACGAACCCCCTACGGAGAATTAGCGGAGAAAAATTGACCTATACAAGTAGCCCACAGGGGTCCTGTCCCCTACGTTCTTTTTTTTTGTTACAGCTTGTTATTGTCCTCTACTCGAGATGGGAATTCGTCAACGTCAGTCGGGAGAGTGTTACTTGGTCCAGATGGGAACGAGCAAGCGTGGCTAGAAATGGTTTTGATAGAGCGATGGGGTTTGTTTCTTGGAAATTTTGTGATTTCTCGAGGATTATTGAGTGGGCTGCCCGATGTTCGGTATTATTGATATTACGTGTCCGATATGGGTCTCGAAATGACAGGGTGGGGATGGTGAATGAACCTTCGGACACGATAAATATCACTTAATACAAATAACAAAAACTACAGATAAAAAACCAATAGCAAACAAGAAGAGAAGTAAACATTCTTGACACCTACGAATCTCCTGCCAATCAGAAGAAAGGTGACTAATGTTTAGTCAGCCATCATCCCTCCTAATTTTCCGTCACACACACTGTCCGCAGCCGATTGACATTCAAATCACCACTTCAAAAAAGAAATATTTATAAATTCATGAATTCAACCCAACAAACGATTCTCCGTTCAGCTCGACCAGATCGCCAGCGTCTCGCGAAGAGGCAAAATTCTTCGGGGGACACCGTTGTTCACGGTGTGTTAATTTATTCACGAACTTCCCATCGGCTCTTTCCGAACGAATGGTTTCCGTGGCGGCCATCTTCGTTCTCCCGCGCACAGTCAGAGAGAGACACGTCCGCATTCTCCAGGTGTAAAGGTATTATTTGTACGGATCGGGGCGAGGACAGTCGGGGGGGGAGGGGGGATCGAGCAAGAACGGCGGATCGCCGCGCCGCTAAGTTCCGCGATATTTCATTTTGCACGCCCCACCGGCTACCCGTTTCTCTTCCCTTGTTTACCTAGAGAAATAACCGGTTGCTTCGACGGTCCTATCCTTCAATTACGGGGCTCCTGCGCTCCAGGCTTCCACTTCTCGGGGCAAAGTAAACCTAATCCTGAACGCCCGTATTGTGTCTCTCTTCCGTTCTGTTTGCGTGAGCGCGCGCGCGCGCGCTTCCGTACGCTCTTGTGAACATAGCCAACTGTGTGTCCGTGTGTGTGTGCAGTGGACCCAGACCCTTTCACATTTGTCCACCGAACAGGATCGAAAAAATCGACAAGCTTCGCCAGGAAATTCTCCGCCCGGGAAATGTCTATGAATTTTTTACCGATCCGAAACGGCTTTCGTAGAGATAAGAGCGATTTTTCGAGACCGTACATCCCTGTTTTTGCTCGACTTTTCCCTGGATTTTTCAAAGTGCTTTGGTAAATCGGCTTTTAGTACGCGAATCTGATCGACAGATTTCAGGCACAAGGTTTATGTTCGACCTAGAATTTCTTTAATGATTCATCAGGCTTTCGTGGTGTTGGAATATCTGATTTAACGAGTTTTGTTTTTTCAAAATTCGATTGAAGAATTTGGGATACTTTCGTAGGGTGGTTTCTACACATGGAATTATGACGAGAATTAGGAACGATGAGTCCTTAGAGAGAAAAAATTGTCAATTAAATATGTGACAGGCCCTAACCCGTCCTTTTTTTTCCCTCCATTCACCTCCCCGCGTTTCTTTTTTCGTTTCGCCTCATTTCTTCGTGCATTTCTTCCCTTTTCACCCCTCTCGAGGAGCAGCATCATTCGCCGAAGTTACTTCCCGCGTAAATTCCGCAGACGGCCGCGCGTTTCCAACTGTCGAAGAATTTCCAACCAGGAGTATAAATATAGTTTCTAAACGCTGGCGAAGAGCGAACGTGTTCTCGATGTAAAAGACGGCCTTTGCCGCATCGTGACGCGAGACTGACGGAATTTTTCGGAAAAATTCTACCGTGAACACCGCGAAATTGAATATTAACCGGTACGGAATTCGTCGAGCACGCACGCGTTTCTCTCTCTCTCTCTTTCTCTCCGTCGACGTGATATTTGAAAGATGTACCCGAGGAGAACTTCTACGGCAAATGTTTCCATAAAGTATTTCAACTTTTGTTATGGTGAAATCATTCTGAGTAACCGGAAAATGGGAAACGCGTAAATTCAGTTGATATTGAAAATTTTATTTCTTTAGAAAAAGGTAGTTCTTTAACCCCATGCCCTAAAAACATCGTGGATTTAATAAATAATATTCGTCTTCCTTAAGTCGAAGTGAAAAGCTGTTTTTATGATACTAATATTTAACTAGAGTTAATAAACACTTGCAATAGGAATAGAATTCCTTATGTATCTGGGAAATTATTTAATAAAGTAATCAGTAATATCAAGATTACAATACAGTTTAACTCTTTGAAGCACACGATTTTAAAGAAAATAAAAACCCTAGTTGCACAGAATTTTTTTTAATATAAAAAAAAATTATATAAAAATAAAATATTAAACTGTATGACTATGAGTAACTTCAATTTTTCGAGGTGGGTTAAAATATATCCCACCATGCATAAAAAGCTAAGCAAAAGGTGGGACAGTTTTTAACCCACCTAACCCTTAAGAGTTAAGAGTGAAAATATTCAGGGGTTTCGTATTCATACTATCAGATTCCAGGCCAGTCACATTCTACCAGGATATTTTTTCATTTACACTAACAGCTGACGCGTTATTTTCAACGCGTGAGTTATCCCGCGACAGCCTGTACACGTTACCAGCGGCATTAAGGGGGTTAATCCCGTGCCATTTCTCAACAAGGTGCTCGATCAGCGGCGAGCAACGTCGATCGGTGTAAAGATTTATTCAAATCGACGTCACCCCACGAAATCTTGGATTATCCAGCGACAGTCGATCGTTCCGGGGATCTCGTTAGGCTGGCTGTTTCCCCTACTTTTTACATCCCCTCATTCCCTGCGTCCCCGTTACCTTTCGTGCCGCCCTACCTCTCGGCTGGCACCTTCGTCGCCAGTTTGGTACACTCTTCTCGCCCGGATAAGGGATGAATAATGTACTCCCCAACCTCGTAGCAAACCTCCATGCAGCCTGAATGACAAATCAGTTCGCCGTCCGAGCCAGGTCACGAATCGACGTCAGCTTTTCCCATCGCCTTTTTCCACTTCCTCCACCCCGAAGAAGCTCCTGAATTTGTACCGGCGTGGATGTAGCGGCCCGCATCCGGATTCTGCGCCAGCTAGGTCGAGTGTGTCCTCTTCTTTTCTTTTTTTTTTTTTATGCGGTTTCATTGATCTTTAACGCTGATAAGCACGATGCTTTGGTAGACGGAATTCAGCTGCTCTATCTGCCCGAGGTTTCTTTGTTTAGCTTCGACTGGACAAGATTTTTGAACCCTTCGTGGTGGAATAAAATGGCCTTGCTGGGCAACGTAATTATTGTGTTTTGGGGGTATCTTTATCACAGGATTTTAACTGTACTTTTGAACCTAAATTCACCATAGTATAAGGACACCTAACAGGTGTTTGTATTTCATATTTTTCAACTTGCATAGTTGAATGGTATTGCGTCTGCGCACCAAAAATTACTTTAAAATGAATGGAAAGCTTATTAAAAATTCAGACAATTCCGTATAAAATATTGCAAAGGGTATTGATATTCTATATTTAAAATAAATCTTTTAAAATTCAACTTTAGAAACTGTTGGGTCATCTAGTAGAGAACCTCGGAACTATCCCTGAATGTTTTCAGATTTTTTGGAAGCCAATAGGGTAAAGAAAAATTAGGTCCGGATAAAATATATGTAACAAAAATTTTGGGCATGTCAGAGATAATAATTAACTGAATACTGAATCTAATATTTGAACGAGTTATATCTGAGTGCTGAGTTGAAATACACGATCACTGTCGCCCTAACATTTCCAAGAATAATGAATCCATACTAACGATAATAATATTCGTTCCACGACTCTTTCGCGGGAAGTATTTATCCATCTTCCCATGTAATACAAAAATTCCGAATAAATGTAATTTCAAGTCTTTCCCGGATTCTGCAGTTAGACGACGAGATTCCAGTCGAATATGTAAACCGAGTGATTTCCGTGACTTTCCGTTCTCCCAGCTATTTCGTTCCGTAAATTTGACTGATGTTCAATTATTCAGACTGGCTTTCAAGGTTCCCATTCTACAGTCGGTACACCTTCCGTAGCCCTCGCCATCCACCGGAGGAGTTAGCCCATTACGCTCAATACACCCATTTCCAACGGCACACGATTCCCAGCCTCCCTCTCAATCCCCTCACTGCCCCCTTCTACACCCCGTGTACCTTTTTCTTTTCTCTACGCTCGTTTCTGCCCTTTTAACATACTTTCCCAGAGAATAGGATTTACCGACTTGCAGAGAGGAGCCGGGGTTTCGCCTCCCGATCACTTTGTCCGCCTTATTCCGACCGTTTTCACTGGAAACTACGGAATTCATTGTTCAAGCCACGAGACTGGTTGGCCTGTATATCCCTAATTTCTTGCGTACTTTTTTATCCGTTATCTAGCGCCCCTCCCTCTCTGACAAGCGTAGACGGGTATCATCAGCTTTGTATTATGGACAGGTAACTGAAAATCGAAGGGGATGAGGAGATTCTGTCAAACTCTCGATGGATGCTCGCGGATGTTTTCCGAGCCAATAATAACTACTATCTAAAATAACCCGTCCTTTATTGATTGTATCAGAAAATGTTTGAATGAATTATGGAGCATTTTAAGGGATGCATCGGTTAGATGCAATTTGATTTTTTTTTTATTTTATGTTGTTTGAGATATCAAGGTGACTGAGTTTTTTCAAGGTTAATGCATCTTTTTTTCTTTTATTCCATTATGCTATAGGTCTTTGGAGTTATCCCTTCATCGAAAACGGGGTATTAAAAAAAAAAGATGCATTGATCTTGAAAAAACTCAATCTCAT